TTGACCTCTTCTTGAACACCCCCAGCTCCTGTGCATGGCAGTACATGCCACAGTTTCTTCCTGCTGGGATACCTTTGCCCTGGGACTGGCCTTCCTGGATGGGCCATCATCAAGACAGCTCAAGCCCAGTGATGTCCCCCAATAGCAAAATAGATCTATAAGAAACACCCGTCATTGCCGCATACAATGGGATATAGGCTGCCCTCTCTCCACTCTGCCACGTCCTTCCAATGCTCTGTAGGAGGCGCCCGGATGGTGGACAAATCTGCTTCTTAAATTGGATCCTTTCTCTCCCCTCATATTTACCAGGGACTCTCTTGGAGCCTTTTACTATGGGCTTTGGTGAGTAGGGGAGACATTTCCTTCTCCAATGGCTTCCCTAGACACAAAACTCAGGACTGCAAAGACCCCCTCTCTCTTCCCCAGCGAGGCTGCAGAAAAGTGGGGAAGGTGGGCATGGCAAAAAGTATGGATGGCTTTCATGATGGGTAAGGGAGCAGGGTCCTTGGGCTGTCTCTTATCAAATCCAAGAAAGATCTCTTTTCAGCTCAAAGAAACATAACCTATCACCTTACTCTTGCAGCGTGGTCCCAGTTCTCCGATGGCTGGAAATCAGGAAAACTTTCACACACTGTTACAGATGTAAGAGTCATCTGGGTAGACAGTTATGATGGAGTGAAACGTTCAAGTTGAACAGGGGAAAATGTCACATGCTGGTCACAGAAAAACTGCATGCAGGCCAATTTGTATGTAACTGGTGAAGAAGTGTTCAATTACACAAGGAGAATTTTGATGTGCTCTAAAAATTATTTTTGACAGTCAAGAGGGTACAAGTTTTATGTTAAAAATTTTACTCATTCATGGCTCAAAAATTCTTTCCATGGCTTTTAAGTTTGTGTACACTTTTATTTTTAAGAACTGCTTTCTGTTTTTAAGATAATGGGTGTTTCCAGCAGCAACTTGAGGAAACACAGAAAAGTTTCAACAAGAAAAAAATCTGCAATTGCACAGCTGAGGGATAATCAAGTTTAGTGAGAGACAGGACTCTGATTTGGGACAATTTGGAATTACATCACAAAAGAAAGATCACTTTATCTTGATTTTACTTTGTTTTATTTTCTGGGTTGGGAAGTTGTGCAGTGAACACACTTGGGGTGATAACATTTGGAATATGGAATTTAAAAAGATTAGGGTTCCGAGAAAACTGAAATCTGTGCTTTGATTTAAAGAAGTTCATTGCAGTGGCAGAAATATGTATCCATGAGAAGACTGTTCCGGGGCTCTCTTTCCCATCTTCCTGAATGCTGACTTGCTCCTGACCACGCTGTGCAGTCAGTGTCTGCGTGTATTATGTATTGTGGGAGGTCCCTGAGATCTCCTGTGGGCTCTGATTGGGTGAGAACCGCTGGGGAGGGGGTGATGGTCAGAGGCTGCATGAAGACTCCCCAGGACAGCGGAGACTCACTGTTGAACACAGTGGCCACCAGGAGTCCTGCACCAGGCACGGGAAGTGAGGGTGTCCTGCTGTGCAGAATTTGTCAACTAGGGTGACAGCAGTCAACATTCCATGGTCTTAAAGCTCTCTGTTTTACTCAGCCTCCCTTCAAGATTATCTGATGATCCTTTTAAACTTAAAAGAACAAAGGTGATATTTTATATCCTGGTGGGGTGGATTTTTAAAGTGAAAAGTGTATGAGTGAGTGAGGAAGAGTAAAAGGAAGAGAAAGGGTTTAACATGATTGGAACTAAAGTTCTGAAATGCTTGATAAAAAAACACTATGCGCTCTTGCTACTATTCACTGAGGAGTTTCTCAGAACTGCAAATATAAAAATAACAATAACAATAATAGCAAACATGGAAACTTTTTACTGTATGTTGGCATTGTTCTATGGGTTCTACATACAAGTAACTGAGTCCTCATGACTGTCCTGGGAAGTACACACTATCCTTACCCCTGTTTTATACCTGAATGAGTCAAAGCCCCTAAAGATGAAGTGGAGGAGTCTGAATTAAGTCCAGAAAGGGGCCTTAACTCTTAGATATGGCTGGTTCTGGTGTTCCATTGCTTCACTATAGAAACAACACTCAAAACCCACTTAATTTGTTCACCCGTGGGGTTGTTCTTCACACGAAGAGGCAGTGGAGAGAGTGGTTAATTGTATAGACTCTGCAGCTACACACCAGGGTGTGCATGCACTGTAGTTCTGGCAACGACAACAGCAACCACCACAGAAACTAGTGGCTTTTCCTTGGGCAAGTCATATAATGCCTCCAAGTTGTAGTTTCCTTATCTGTAAAATGAGCCGGGCAATCCCCATCTTGAAGGGTTGTTTGGGAACTCAGTAATGCCTGAAAAGCACTGGTGCGGCTCTCAAAGGTGTGGGCTCCATTACAATGCCTTGTAAGTGCCGTTGCACTGGAAACCAACAGGTCCCCTGTGTCGTAAGACAACGTGGATCACCCCATTTATTCAGGAAATCCCACGAAGAGGTGCAGAGGAGTGTGTGTGGAAGCGATGGAGGAGGGAGGTATGCGGGAAAGGAGCCCACCGTAACTGGACAAGGAGGTGTTTGCACCCCAGACCCCTGCCTGGGTAAGTGGACAGAGAAGTGTGAGGAGCTGGAAGTGACCATGAATGGAGTCAGAGATGATTTTAAAACATAGAGCTTGAGTGGGACTGATGCAGGGGCTGGGAAATGGAGCCACAGAGGGAGGAGCGCAAGGGGCTCCAGGCTGTGAGCGAAAGTTCTGGTGTCCCTCGCTTTCTCAACGCTTGCTATCCAAATCCAAGCAGAGAACAGCTTCAGACAGGGAGGGAGAGAAAGCTAGAATCAGAGCAAAGCAGACGGCCAGCCTGGCCAGCAGTCCCAGGGGTACCGATCAGCTCAACCATACAGGGACCAGGGAGGGAGATCTATTTATTGTATAACCAGCATGTGATAAGAGGAATGCTTTCTTCCACCTGACATGAGATTGTGGAATGTCTACTCAGGACCCTCATATGCTATCAACAGATTTTATATCCCCAAAACTTCTGCTGGTCTGTCAGCCCTGATATAGTCTGAAGGAGAACAAAACCCAGTACCTTTTTGATAACCATTAAGATCCTTGGATTTATATAATGTGGCATGATGTGAGGGACACTGTTTAGGTCCTGGCATAGCTGTAAATGCCTAGGACGGAACAATAACAAAAAGTCTATTCTGAAAGCTTTCTCAGATGTATCTGAGAGAATGTGCTGGTTAATGCAAATACGTGTCCAAACAAGCACTGGTTTGCTTAGGGAGTACACAGAGCTGGCAAGCCCCACTTGGCGTGAAGAGCATGAGTAATGCTTCATTTTAATGAGGGATCTTGGGGGTCTATAATGAAGACGATGTGGTACAGTATTTCCCACGTGTCTCTTTGGAACGTGGACTGATTGTACCCACAGGGGGAGAAAAACCATCTGAAAGTACGTAGTGCTTGAAACCTCTGGGGCTCTACAAGATTCAGATAATTTGATGGCATATAAATGAATTCATGGAAATACACCCAGAGTTCCCAGAGTAAGGAAATTCCCTTCCCATAGGTAAGCAAATATGAATGCAAAACGATGAGAATGTATTTGGGGGGAGGGAGGAGTGAAAGGAATTTGCTGCTTAAACAAATGTTACAGGCAATTTCAGGTATGTTGTGAACATTACAGCGTCTTTGGAATAATTGTGTAGCTTCCCCACATGGCTCTTCTGAAAGACATGAGTCATCCCACTATCAAGTTCATATGTATAGAGTACATACATTCATTTTCATGTTTAAGATGTAATTTCACAGTCACTCTTCACCCATGAGCCCTGATCCTTTGGACCTTTTCTATCAGACAAAGTTCATACTTACATTTTGGGTGGAAAAAAGATCTAGACGGCTACTACGGAACATTACTGCACGTTTGTGCTGAGGTCTGTAGCCTGGATGTCCCCTTAGATATAGCCATAGGGCACGACTTCCTAGAAGCGGATCCCTCTCTGTTCGGATCTGGGGCATTATGTGGACATTCTCACACAGCTTGTGAAGTACTGAACTGACCTTTACTTTATATTTCTGGGCTGGCCAGAACAACACCCTCCATGAACACTGGGCCTCCCAAAGAGCTCCAGGAGTTTGATGGGACTGGAAGAACATTATTCAGTACTTCAGGCTTAAAGGAAAGTCTGGTGACCCAGAAGTCAGGACAAGCGAGTCCTGAGAGGCAGAAATACTGGCGGGGGAGACCCCTTCTGTGTATGCTAATATATCAAAGAGGACTTGGAATTATAAAGGGACATTAGAAATTTTCTCTTAAGATAAACAATTTTGAAACATTAAAACATGGTAAGAACTGCAATTAATGTGCAATAAACTCATCAGGCAAAACCTCTTATTGAATAAATTTGGCGTCTCCCACTTGGGACTTATTCATACCCAAAAGACCAATTGGAGATTTCTTGTGATTTATTGACTCCAATTTTAAAAACCAAATCCATTAAGTGGACGCAATATGTAATAACTAATTCTGGAATAGATTTTAAGCTGACTCAGGGAAATGTACATTTTTCACTCGTTTCCTATGAAGTTTCGAGTCACTTCTCTAAGAGGTCATTTCTTCTGTCCTTATTTGCATTCGCCGCAACTCCCCCCTTCCCCAACAAAAGCAACAACAAAAAATCCCAAGCAAAAAAGCCCTTAAGCAATAAAACTGGTGTCCAAGAAAAACATTTAGTTTGAAAAAGAGTTGAAAAATGTAGCCTTGGAAGAACCACTGCTTACATGGGATTGTTCAACAAATTCCTGTTGTGTGAGGTTTGGCATACACTTTCTAAAAATATAAGCATCTGGGGAAATGAGACAAAGCCCAGGTCTTGGACCAAATGAGGCACGCAGTGTGAATCTGTTAGTGATTATATCCATAATGAAATATGTGCCCAAATTTAGCAGTGCTGAATCTAATATGATACAAAAGCCCAGCAGGCACTGTCCTTACCATAATATATAGCCAACAGAGAAGGTACATATGGCGGTGAGTCCGCTGCTCCTGCTGGGATACGCGTGGTGCGATGTCCTCATCTCGATCAATATAAAGGGCAAAACTGTGGTGTGCTGAAAAAGAACAGAGGCCAGGTGACACAGATTCTCATCATCGCCCCTCAGTAGCTGTTTTGTCTCCAGTCGGAGAACGGACAGTGTAAATCCCCAGAGAAAGCGAAACATCAGAGAGCTGAGCATGGACATAAAAGCATGCAATATGTCTATTGCTCCATTGGTATTTTTCTTCTGTTTCTTAATTTTTGAAATTTTACTTATGTCTATAAAAAGACATTTCTATAATACAGAAAGATGTATAAGAGGGAAAGTGGAACATGAGAAAGGAGTAAAAATAACCAGTGTTAATATCAGTGTTAATATTTTGGTGTATGTCCCTACCCCCATTCATATTATTTATACACAGTCAAGATCAAACTGTGTGTGAATTTTGTTTTCAATTGTAGCATGAAAATTTTTGATATGCCATTTTAAAAACCCCTCTAAGAGTATCAACCCTGACCATTGCTGCTTAAAATTCCACCTTATAGATGTACAAAAATTTATTTCACAAGTCTCTGTTCTTGAACAGTAAGTAGTAAAAAGATTTTCAAATTTTCACTTATCAAAAATATCATGGTATCAGCCCTGGCTGGTGTAGTAGCTCAGTGGATTGAGGGCCAGGCTGCAAACCAAAGGGTCGCCAGTTCTCCCAGTCAGGGCACGTGTCTGGGTTAGGGTCAGGTGCCCGGCATGAGGTGCACGAGAGGTAACCACACATGGACGTTTCTCTCCCTCTCTTTCTCCTTCCCTTCCCCTCTCTAAAAATAAAGAAATAAAATGTGTTTTTTTAAAATCATGGTATCATAGTAAATATATTCTATACAAGCCTTTTTATAAATATCTTTTACATAAGTCTTTTTATGAATGTCTGAATGTTACATTTTTTTCCTATAGTCAAAGGCTATGAAGATTTTAAGGATGTTGATATATAATGTCAAGTTATGTGTGTATCAGCAACAAGTTAGGAGTAATGCCAAATTAGTTCCTAGGAATAATGTACCAGTTTGTACCAGCAGTGTGCAAGTTAGGTATGGTGTTTGAAGACAGAATGTAGAAAAGCTGGGTGGAACATCACCACTTGCTTTTCAGATCCAGTGGCTACTCTATATGCTCTGTTCAGGAGGCCAGGTTGGGGCCGAAATTGGGTAGGAAGAAAGGAAAGTCCAGTGCTCTTGGTACTGAAATTTGGTGGACAGATATAAAGGACAGAGAGCTTCTTGGGTAAAACTGGGTCAGGGTATAGATTTACCTTCTAATATTGTAGAGTTAGTTTCCCAAGAGTAAGAAACTGGCAGAAGAATAGAATTGTCAGAAGTAAGAATTGATCCTATTTAGTAACCCCATAACAGCTGTGAAAGAATCTTCATTCTGCCCTTGCTCTATTGTTTGCATATTCAAGGAAAAAGCAGGAAATTGAATGATATGACTTTCAAACTCTCGTAAGTATTGCAGCGAAATGGAGTCAGGTTGCAGATAGGCCTGGCCGGGAAAAGACATGGTGGGGATCCAGGTGAACATTTTTGGAGGAACTTACTATTTATATTCTAGAAAAAAAAAAGAACAACAGGATTTTGTAAGAAATATTAAGGCTGGAAATTCTTTGCCTTAAGCATTCTTCTCTAGATAACTGATTGGACAGTCAACATATTAGTAGTTAGAGCTTGGTATTCCCGGAGTGTCAGGTGGGTGAGTGCACAGTTGGGTGGCTTTATATTTCTTTATCTTTTGTTTCTCTATTATTGTTTTAAAACAGTATAATTAGCTCTGAGGGGAGCCATGCAAAATGTGTTAATTCAGAGACAATATGCATTTTAAAGATCTATTTTATTGTGGGGCTTTTTTTCACTATAACCTAGTCACCTCAGATGACACTGGCTTGGAATTTCACCAACAATTTCAGCTGCCAACAATAGTTTTACAATGGTGCATTCATGTAAAATTCAAATATACAGCTAGCAATAAGGCCAAGTCTCATCAAATCTCACGTAGAAGAAAAATCCATGCAAATAAAATATTTACACTGAAAATAATGCTGACTCTAATGGCTTGTGTGTGAGTTTATAGAAGGACAATATTATTTTTGACTTGTTATTACTAAATAATGTCCAAATTCTCTCTCTTCATTTATTGCTCCAAAGCAAGCAGTAAAATAACCCATTTTTCTATAGAGTTATATAGATTCAAATAACAAATCTAACAATTTTTAGTCATCGAGTTATCAGTACTTTGCCTGGCTTAGTTGCTCATTATCAAATGTCATTACCTAGAAGTGTTAGAATGTACTTTGATGATGCCAGGCAGAAAATCCCTTTGAAAAACAAATATCTTTCTAGATTACTTCATCCCTGGCACCATTACCACTAAAAAGGAGCTACTTGTTCCATCAGTGACAAAACCAATGACAAAAGATCTTGTTGTGCCCAGCTGTGCCTGGGCCTGTCTGGCTAGCGGGAAATCTCAGGAGAAGGTTTTTTCTGTATCAGGATAACAACTGCTTATCATTAGGAATTTCTGGGCACTAAAGGATGCATATCTCCTTCTCTTAAAATGTATCATTCAAATTATGTTTACCAATAAACAGCGTATATTAACAAAAGTGAAAACCATGCAAAGTATTTATAGCAAATATAAATGTTGCCCTGTGGGTAGCTAAAATTTTATGAGTTTGAAAAACTGTAAAACTCTAAAGATGGTCATGCTTAATCTCTAAGAGACCTTTATTTAGAAGCTGAGTTATAACTCAAAATCTGTAGTGACAAGAGGGATAATTGTTTAAGAAGTACAGGTACAAAAAATCCAGATTTTTCTCTACTCCTGGCAATACTGAGCTGAAATGACTCAAGAACCACAAAAGACCACCAGCTGTCCCCAAATGATAATCTCATGTTTTACTCACTGTGGTATTTGTAGCACTTAGACAAGAGCCTGGCACACTGGATCAATAAATATTTATGGAGACGATTTATTTACTCTTCAAAACAACATCTTAAGTGGGAATTATCAACTCCATTCTGCAGATGAGGTACTAATGACTTGAAAAAGGGAATTATCCTGCCCAAACTAACAGAGCTACTAAGTCTGGAGGTAAGGTTCAGACCAGTTCTGTCTGTCTCCAAATCTCATACTCTGTTTTCTACATTAGAATTATATCTTTAGAAGATACGAGTTAAATAATCTTTGACACAATAAACCTGTGGAAGTACATGATTGTACATTGCTTATGTTGCTTCTCAACAGACCAGACCTATTTTTTTTTGTTTAGCCTCAAAATAAACAAAAAGGTCTTCACTGTAAAAAAAAAAGTATTTTGCTAAATGTGTCTTTCCCCCCTGTGACATATAAACATTCTGAATAATAATACCCAATAAAATCAGCTGGCATACAGTCAGAACTCAGCGGTGCAAGGATAGTTAAAGATGGTGGGAGGCAGCCTTTTCGGTTTTGGGCTCAGAAGAGGCCAAGGCACGACTTCCTCAGTCATCCTGCATTGGGGTTCCTCTGGCACCAAACGTCCCTGTCATGTTACCTAAGTTCCCCCCAACAGGGTCCAAGTCTTAACACCTGAAGTGCAAGAGTGGGGATTTGGTGCCGCCTCTGCCCTGGCTCCCAGGATCGGGTCCTTGGGTCTGTCTCCAAAAAAGGTAACAGGTGACTGGGAGGCTCTGAGAATGGCAGTGAAACTGACCATTCGGAACAGACAGGCCCAGACTGGGTGGTGCCTTCTGCCTCCACCCTCCCATCAAAGCCCTCCAGGAACCAGACGTGGAGAGCGGAGCGAAGACCCATCCAGCAGGGTGGAAACAGCTCTTTGGATGCGTTGTCAACATTGCCTGATAGATGTAGCGCTGATCTGCAGAGCCAGAGAGCTTTCTGGAACCATGAAGGAGACTGGGCCTGCCTGGTCTGTTGGCTGTGATGTTGATGGCCACCACCCTCATGACATCATGGGCAACACCCAAAGGGTGTGATGGAATGCCTGGCTACTTAAGAACTGCAGAGGAAAACATTTCAATAAAGGATCATTTGACAACTAAAAAAAGCAAACCCAGGAATGATCTGTTTCTATTCCTCAAACCTTTTGACTTACAGTTTTCTCAGGCAGGTGTAGATATACTTTGGATAAACAAAGGGATAAAGGCTGGTTGCCAGAGGGGGCTCTTCAGAATTGCATTGCACTGTTTTCTGCAGCATATTATCAATACAATTGCCCAGCAGCTGAGTTACTGAGGTTTGACTCTTTTATTTTATTTATTTTTTATTTTTTTTAAAATATTTTATTTATTTATTTTTTAGAGAGGGAAGGGAGGGAGAAAGAGAGAGAGAGAAACATCAATGTGCGGTTGCTGGGGGCCATGGCCTGCAACCCAGGCATGTGCCCTGACTGGGAATCAAACCTGCGACACTTTGGTTTGCAGCCCCCGCTCAATCCACTGAGCTACGCCAGTCAGGGTTGACTGTTTTATTAAGTGGCCAAGTGAGATGAAGGGTTGACAGCCCAAGGAGGAAATCCTTGATCTCCCCTATAAACTCCGTGTTAGAAAGTACTGGTCTAGGATGTAAGTAGTTATCCCAACCCATGCTCAATCTTCCTATTGCTGCTGATTTTAATGAGACTGTATTTGGAAGATTGTGTCTAAAAAGGAAAGCCCAAATCTGTCTTGGCCCTTTTTTATCCTTTGTGTTTTTCTTAATAGGGTTTGCATAGGCTTTTTGGTCCATTTATTGATTTACATTTATTAATATACACATTAATATATATACATACATTTATGTTTCATACATATATGACATGCTTTAAAACATTATTTTAAATATATTTATATAATGTGGGAATCTCCATGGGGCAGTAATGATCAGACTATCTCCAAGAACTGACCAGCAAATGTCTCCCTGCAGAGGGGATCCACCAGGCAGTGTCGCCTCTGCACAGACATGCTCAGACCTGAGCAGAGGGCTGGATTTGAGAAAGGACCCATGGTTTCATTATGATGGAAGGGAGATGGGATAAAAAAAAA